AGGCTCAGGCTTTTTGTTACGCCCTGCAACACACCACGCTTGCTCTGCTGGTCCTTGCCACACGCTCCTATGTCTCCTGGACACTTCCTGATACTTAGTGGTAACCTGCTGAGACCTTTGCCCTTGACTATCCTCAGGAGAACACCCTCCCCCCCCCACACACACACACCCGTTAGTTGCCAACATTTAAAAACCAGGCAGGTCCACACAAAAATGCCCAGGCTCTCTTAAAGCATCAGCAGAGCCGCAGTAACTCCTACAAGCCAGAGGTAGGCCTAAGGTGGGCCTGGACGCCGGGAGCCCACCCTCTTGGGTCCACATGGCCTCGCTGGCTGGCTACCTGCCTGGCCCCTGGGTTTTGTAATGCTTTTCTGCTTCCTCCCAAATTTGGTTCTCCAGCTTATTATCGTCTGCCTCCCTGTGCAAAGGGACAGTTTTATTTGTTTCTGGCCTCACTGTGCTTGGCCCACGGCTAGGTCTTAGTAATACCTGCTGAATGCATGAGTGAATGAGTGAATGAATGAGTAAATGAATGCGTGAATGAGTGAATGAATGAACACTAGTCCTCCTGCCTCCTGGAGTTCCACAGGCCACACCACTCATTTGCCATTTAATCACACCCTTCCCTGCAATACTCATTAATTTGCTGCCCCCAACGCCTCCCTCCTCCAGAGGTCTTATTAAAACACAAATCTGCCCCTTTCCTGGCCCAACTTGAAAGATCCTACGAGTTTCCCAGACTGACTGGGATCCTTTGAGATCCTTCTCATCTGGTTCCCACCACTCTCCAGCACCCCCTCAGAGCGCCCCCCCCCCCCCGCCCCAGCCTAGCATACCCTTGCGCCCCCTCCATGGCTCAGGGAACAGCCATGTCCTTTACCGCCCCCACCTCTGACTGCCTGCTCCCTCAGCGGGGCTGCCTCCTCCCCCGCCATGCCTCTAGCAAACTCCTACTCATTCTTCAGCCCTAGCTCTAACTGGTCTCTTCACCCATGAAACACTCCAGACCGCCCCTTCCTGTGACTTAGTCATTCTCTTTTCTGCCCCCTTCATACCCTGGCTGAGCACTGAGTAATGGCCCTGCACAGCCGCTGGTGTCTGCTGAGTGCGTGCTGTGTACCAGGCACCGTGAGCTTCATCTCCTTCAATCCTCACGCCCAGGCCAGGCCTGGAAGGCTCCGCCCCTCCCCCACGACCCCTCCACCTGGAGGAATGAGGATTCCGTTTGCATCTCCGACTTCTCTGACAGGCCTGGCCCTACCATCCTATTTTAAATGTTCTTGCTCCTTCCATGTCTCACCCCACCCCACTTCCCTGCTTTATTTTTCTCCCATCACCAACGCAATGTGGACTTTCATCCAATAATTGATATATGCTGTCTGTGCCCCTGAGTTGTCAGCTCCAGGAAGATGGGGGTTTTATCCTGTCTTTTTTAGTACTATAAACTTACCATCCAGAATAGAGCCTGACACCAAAGTAAATTGTTACTTATCCAAAGAAGGCAGCTGTAACTCTTGAAGAAAGTGGACTTTAGAGAAATGTAGACAATCCCGTAGCTGGTTGGTAGCACAAACAGATGTGATCCCTGGACTGTCAACTCCAGCAAACTCTCCCCACACAGCCCTGACTTAATTACTGTGTCCCCACTTCTTTCCCTGGACCTGACTTCTCAGCTGGACTTGAATTCTTTGTATTCTTGAATTCCATTGTATTCCTAGCTGTGTTCCTTGCTGAGTCCTCACTGGCCGCTGGACCCTACCCTAAGAGCTTTGCCTGTGAATGGTCTCTTATTGTTTCAGATGAGGAAACGGAGGCTCAGACAAATTAAGAGTTTGCCCAGGTCCACACAGCCAGGAACTAGCAGACAGAATAGGGTCTTCGTGGCATTGTAGGTCATCCCTGAGCCTCTCTGAGGTGTCCTTTGAAAGCCTCTGTGTGTGAAAACAAAAGGAGTGATTTATTACCCATCTCTGCTCTACTTCAAGGAATTTCTTTTAAAAAGCTCTGGTAAGAAATATTATTTGCCAGGTACTGGCACTGGTATTCACCCCACACTTGATGGTTTACAGAGAAGTGTCCTGTATGCTTCCTTAGCTGATCCCCCAAGCAATATGAGGAGATGGGACAGCCGATTCCTTTTATAGAGGAGAAATCCGAGGCTCTGAGCAGTTTCAAGCTGGGTCAAGATCAGCCTGCCAGCAAGGAATAGAGCCAGTGCTCAAAGAAACATCTTACACCTAAAAAAATTAAGTGCTTGGTGTCTCCAAACAGAAAGTGCTTTCGTGCAACTTTATGTAAATAAAACATTCGAGCACTTAGCACAGCCGCTGGCACCTGGTAGGACCCTCAGAAAAGCTGGTGATCGTGGGCTTCCTTCCTCGACAGCTCCTCAAGCGGAACGTTGTGGTTGGGGACTTGAGTCTGTGTGCAGTGCCTGGCAGAAGCATCACTTCTTTCACTCTATCTCATCCCTGGCAACGTTGAAATATGCTCATTCTCCATTATCAAGCGGAACGTTGTGGTTGGGGACTTGAGTCTGTGTGCAGTGCCTGGCAGAAGCATCACTTCTTTCACTCTAGCTCATCCCTGGCAACGTTGAAATATGCTCATTCTCCATTATCCCTGGGGTACCACAGAATGTGAAGAGCTGGACTGAACTGTGGGGATGATCTCATCTGACGCTTGCATTTACAGATGGAGAAGTTGAGTCCCAGTGAGAGGAAAGGCCAGAGAGCAAACTCCTCCAGGGTAGGGCTGAGGTACAGGGGCTGGCACACACTGCCTCCACCAAGATGGGTTTTTACCTAAAAGGGCATCTAATTTCCTATAGGCTCTGGGAGACAATTCATTCGTTTCCCAAGCTGCGAGCACCCCCACCCCCACACACAAAGCACTAAAACATCATAAGCTATTAACCAGGAAGCAAGCCATGTGATTTAATTCCACCTCTGCAAAAGGGCTTAAAATGCTTTAGTGAGTAGTCCGAGATTCATAAATATACATTTCGACTCTTTCTCAGAGAATTATTAACCAGCTCCATCAAAACTGGGCCTTGAGTACTCAAGGAGAAAAAGAGGTAGCAAGAGAAACTTCTTGCAAAAACAATCTCACCATCAGTATCTAGGATTTCTAGCCATCTCTTTCTCTTTTGTCCTTAAGAGTTGGAGGAGGACAAAAAAAAAAGTATCATTCTCCAAAACGTGTTTCAATAAAGTGAATTGTGAAAAATTACAAACTCCACCTCCCAAGGCAGAATCCAAGGGAACACAATTGTGTGATATGTGGTAGAAGGACTCAAGACACAAGACACTGGGAAGGAGGATAAAGCAGAAGGGAAACCTTCACTAATTTCTTTCAGAAGGTGGAGAGGAGATGGAGAGATGTGACTGTGTAGGTGTGATCACCTCAGGAAGCCAGTTCCCAGGTAATGATTTGGTGAACCTATAATTTATAGAGTCCACGTCCTGAATCGCCTTACTTATCTCCCCAGCCCTGAGTAGTAATCATCTGAGGCCTGGGACTGGCTTTTCAGTATACACACAGGTCTTGATGAGCTTTAGCTTGAGGATTTGGGGGTGGGGCAGGATGACAGAGAGAAATGAGATTAACGTCCAGTCTTTAAACCAAAGAAACAGGAATATAAAACCCTCTCTGGCAGTTTCTCTGGGCCTCAAGTTTCTCAAGAGAGGCAGTTCAGGCCCCACAAACAAACCCTGGGCTTGAACAGCTCTTGGAATGAAAGGGCTCCCCTCCTCCACAATACCTTTATCAAATTCAAACTATTTTCCACATTCCTTCCTTACATGGTCCAGGCGCCTGTGATGCAGACCTCAGAGCAAATTCCTCTTAGGAGATCCAGGAAGCTCTGGGTTGGCCCTCCCTCTTAGAAAGGAAAGTCCAAGTAAAACGGGGTGCCACACCCCGGGGGGAGGGGAGCGAGGCTGACGACACCTCCAGGAATGTGGGGCCCACGCTTGGTGCATTGGCACCCAACTTCCTTTTTAAAAGGGCCTGGAAAATCAGTACTGATAACAGAATAGAACCACCACCCAACCACTGCTCACAGGTGCTGGGCCGCTGCCCCTGGCGTCACTCTGGCCACTGTACAGTTGTGACAGCTGAGAATCAATAATCAGTGCTTCTCCGAGTGGGATGTGAAGACCCGTGGGAGTTCCTGAGACCCTCTGAGGAGGCTTTCAGAGCCAACCCTATTTCTACAGTAAGACGTTACTTGTTCTCACCCTCCTTGTCTCACAGGTCCACATGGAGTTTTCTAGAAAAGTTGATGTAATGATATTGGAACATGCACGGTGTATGCTTGAGTTTTACACATTCTTTACAGAGTTCTTATGTGTATCTTAATCTAACATGTTGAATACTGACATACCTGCCACACAGCAACAAAATACTTTGGGGCGCAACAAAATACTTTGGGGCCCTCCATAATTGTTAAGAGTATTAAGAGTATTAAGGAGTCTTGAGACCAGTCCAGTTGCTCCACTTCATTTCCAGCCTGACCTGAGTCACATAACAGGTGATTTCAAACAGGGGGTGGGAAAGGCAGCGTGACTGTGTTATTATTCAGCCCGAGATGGTATCTTTCCATCTGTACTTCCACTCAAGAATAGCCAGGGGACTCTTAATCCCCCCCAAACATTTAGCGAACTGAAAGCTCCGCTTCTCACCTGTGAACTCAGGTGGGCAAAGGCAGCGCAAAGGACCCACGCTCCTTCAGCTCTGGCACCCAACACGCAGAGCTGAGTCCCTGCCAGGAGTCAGAGCCCCACGTGGTCCCTGCATATTGGGTACTTTCATTCCAGAGCAGAGGTGGGCTGCACACATCACATGGCAGCGAACATGGGGCTCTTGAACTTGTCACAAGGGCTGGGAAGGAGGGGTACCAGCTGTTTGGAGGGGCTGGGATAGGCAGGTGGAGAGAGGAAGGCCCTGACACTGAGGTGGACTGAAGCCCCCTAACCAGCTCTTCTTGTCCATCTCAGGTTGGAAATGGCCACCCACAGGCCCAGGCCTCGCCCCCAGGATGGTTCTGTAGTTCACAAGCCATTGTGCAGGTGGAGACAGGAAGGTACTTGGGGTTCTCCCGTTCACCTAGTATGGCCAGAGCTAAACAGGGTCCCTGTGAGGAGCAACTCAGCTATGGGACATCTAGAGAAGGATTCCCCTTTTATGGGGGAAGTCAGGCTACGGGCATGGAGAGAGGATTCAGTCTTTGTTATCAGGGGTACATTTGGTCACACTTGGGAGAATGAATACAATCCAGAGGCTGTGGGTGGTGGAAATGACCCAAGAAAAGGCTGGAGAATGGGAGAGAACGACTTCACAGCTTTAAAATAAATAAATAAGCAAAGAAAAAAAAAAAAAAAACAGCCCAGGACAGACCGGTCTCCAGGGAAACGAAGTCACCCCGGTCTTCAGTCCACTTTCCCACACTCACGGGGCCCACTCGACCCGATGGGGCCTGGGAGACTGCAGAAGTCTCTATAAAACCAAGCCAGGGCAGCCCTGAATTTCTACCCCCAAACTGTTGAGTGGCGGGAAAACTTGAATTCTGCAACTAGTTGCCTAAACAACGCAAACGGGTAAGGCAGGGCCATCACTGCACCCTGCAGCGTCCCAAAGTAGAAGCCGGGGGAAAGCCGGCGGGAGGCCACGCAACCAGTCCCACGGCCGCGCGTCGCAAGCCCGCAGCTGGGCGCTGACTCCCACCGCGCCGGGACATCGGGCGCGCTGCCGCGCCTGCGCAAAGGGCCCACAGTGCTCCAGGTGCGCCTGCGCTTCCGGCCGGCCTTGTTCGGACGGAAACCCAGAGCCGCGCATGCGCCTTCCTGATCTCCTGCGAGGTCCCGGGAGGAGGCGGCCTCCGCTTCAGGTGATCCCGCCCCTCCCTCTCACAGTGGGACCAATGCGCAGCGGTGGGCGGGATCTTCAAGAGAGCGGCCCGCCCACGCGCGAGGCGACTCGTGTATCGATTGGCTGGCGCCCCGGGCGCAGGTGCGCGCTTCCTATTGGGTGTGGGCGGAGCGCGAGCCGCCGAGTCTTCTACGGAGGCGGCAGGTGAGCGCGCGCGCGCCGCATCGCTCGCTCGCCTCGGGTGCGCGCGCGCGTGCTCTCGGGGGAGGCGGCCCGGAGC